AGGTCTCAGGAATTATGATAGAAAAATGTTAATATTTGACTAATGACTTGTTCTCTAACAATCATCAATCAATCAATGAACATTTATTAAGCACCTACTATATGCCAGGCACTAGGAAAATTTGGTTCCATTTCAACTGAAAAGTCTCCTTTTTCTTAGAGAGGATAAAACAATTCATCACCAATAAGACACATAAACATCCTCAACTCCATTTCATTCACTGCACAGATCAAATGGTTCCAAATCCTGTCATTTCTACCTCCACATTATCTCTTGCATACATCCCTCTTTTCTCCATCAACACAACCACCACCCTCATTCAGGCTGCCGTTACCTCTCACCTAGATGGTGAGGCAATAGTCTCCTATCAGGTCTTCCTTGCCTCAAGTCTATTGGTTTATTCCAATGTGCTCTTCACATGGCCACCACAGTGACCATGTCATTTCCCCTACTCAGTAAATCCAGCGACTCCCTATTGTCTCTAGGATCAACTCTACTTTGGCATTCAAAGCTCTTCCCAATCTGGCACCCTCCTACCTCTTCAGGCTCCTAACACATTACTTACCTCAACATACATATTCTACAATTCAGCCCCACTGGCTGACTTGCTAATCCATACGTAAGCCACTTCAGCTTCTACCTCCTTGCCTGTGTTTTGCTCCTTTTTCACCTCCACCTCTTAGAATTCCCAGCTTCCTTTAAGAATTAGCTCTGTTGTCACTGTCTGAAGGAAGCCCTTCCTGGTCTCCTTGCTGAGATTGCCTTCGTAGCCAAGACTCCCTTCTGTTTGCTTTCTGGGGCTTCTTATGTTTGACTCCCCTCCACATACTGGACTACCCAGCACCAATGGCCTTCTTGAGGCACTTCAAAGACCATGTTCCATCTTCTGATTCTGTGCCTTTTCACTGGTGGTCCTTCCTGCCTGCAATGTTTTCCCTCTTGACCTCCTCCTCTCGGCTTCCTTCAAGAATCAGCTCAAACAGGAACTTACAAGAGGTCTTTCCTCACCGCACAATTGTTAGGGTCTTCCAGGTGGACACACTGTAACTTGACTCTGACATGGTGATGTCATCTTGGTCCTCTTCAAGAATGAAAGACAAACCATCCAATAGCTCTAACATACATTAACTGTCTGAGTGCTATCTACCCCATTACAATGTATTCCGTGAGAGCAGAGACCTTGCTTTTGTCTTTGTGTCTTTAGCATTATGCCTTGCACAAAGTGGGCACTTACTAAACGCTTGCTGACTATGGATCTTGTACATGTACTAGTGTCTGTCCTACACTGTAAGCTCCTAGGGGGCAAGGATCATTTCAGTTTTTTCTTTGTATTTCCAATCTTCAACATAGTCTCTGGCACACAGTAGTCATGTAATAAATGTTTGCTTATTATTGATAAATACACAAAAATGCTTACTTCTTCTGTACTGTATTTTTGCCTTTATTTTGTGTGTGTGAGGCAATTGGGGTTAAGTGACCTGCCCAGAGTCACACAGCTAGTGAGTGTTATGTGTCTGAGGGCACATTTGAACTCAGGTCCTCCTGATTCCAGGGCCAATGCTTTATCCACTGTGCCATCTAGCTGCCCATTTTTGCCTACTTTAACCAGCTATAATGAAAACTATATATATAAATCTAGACATAAAGCTATATATAAAACTATATGTTGTTGTTCAGTTGTTGTTCAGTCATGTCTGACTCTTCATGACCCCATTTGGGGTTTTCTTGGCAAAGATACTGGAGTAGTTTGCCATTTCTTTCTCTAGCTCACTTTATAGATACTTAGGGTCGCACAGCTAGTAAGTGTCTAGGGCCAAATTTGGACTCAGAAAGATAAGTCTTCCTGACTCTGAGCCTGGCACTCTATTCACTATGCCACCTAACTGCCCTCTTAAAGCTATAAAAAAAAGCTATATTTTGAATATTTTAACCAGGTTCATTATATATGATGAAAACTATATATAAAGCACAAGTCAGTAAGACCTGAGTTGAAAACCTACCTCAGATATTTATTAACTGTGTGATCCTGAGCAAGTCATTTAACTTCTGTTTGCCTCAGTTTCCTTATCCACAAAAGGAGAATAACAATAGCACCTATTTCCCAGGCTTATCATACAATAAAATGAGACCTATTCATAAAGAGCTTTGCAAATCTCAAAGCACTATGTAAATGCTAACTATTATCATTATACTTCTACTTAACTAGTTGCATAAAGAAAGGTATCACCCTTTGGTATTTTCATGCAATGCATAATTACTGCTATTTTTTGTACTAAATCCACACGTTACCTTCCAGACTTCAGTTTCTCACACTTCTTAAAATTTTAGCCATCTCCAAAATCAAAGTAGGTTTTGTGCCAAATATATATAGGAAGAAGACTTTATTCTCAACTTTTTCTCAAGAAGGTTGAAAAAGGAGAAATATCAACATTCTCTATATGCTGTCAACTTCATAGAAAGCCAAAACATGTCTTACCCAAATGAAAATTAACTGGCTGAGCAATAAAAGTAATCTGTTCATTTGGATGGAAGCATTTGTAAATCAATACTTGAGGAAAGAGGTTAAAATTCTGAGTAACAAAAAGAAAACACTGTCATCACATCTGGTAGGATCATAGATGAAAAAAAGAAAGGACTTTCCTGATATTCCACATAATCCACCAATGTCCAAAGAAATCAATGAAGTGATATGAGTAATGACTCCAGAAGTTATACTTACGTTCTACTGCCCATTATTTTTCTAATTGTCCTCTTAAAAGAGAAATTAATGGGCAGGGAAATGGTCAAAAGAAAAACAAAGCATGAGACACCTAGATGGCACAGTGGATAGAGCAGTGGACGGGGTACTTACAAGCTACATGATGTTGGGCTAGTCACTTAATCTCTGCTTCCCTAAATTTCTTCAACTAGCACTCAGCTCCCAGGGTTGTTGTGAGGGTAACTTGATAAAGCATTCAGCACACTACCTGGCACATAATAAATACTACATTGCTAGCTATTATTATTAGCTATTATGAGAAAAGAAGAAACACAAACTGAGTAGGAAAAAGAAAATATAGCTATCTACTACAAAGAAAACTTATAAATGAGAATTAGAAAAGTATTTAAAAACTATAAATTATAAAAAATAAATTGTAAAACTTAAAACTTTTTTAATCAAAAAATAAATTTTACAGGATGAAAATCTAGGAAAATAAAATCAGCTCTGCAGGTAGTCTTTAAACTAGTTATGAAACTCAAATGTAAAATGTCCCTACAAATTAAGCATAGGTAGCAAAACCCGCCACCCACTGTTACTGTTAGCAATTCTGCCATGATTCAGAGTTCAGACTAAGTAATTATTCATTAAATCATGAATAATTCTGCATCCTAAAGCTATTAATTTTATAAATAACTTTTTTGAAGAACAGTGTGGTATGTTGTATGTAAAGATGTATGAACAGACACACATACACGTGTGTACACAGATATAGAGACAGAGATAGGTAAGTGTGCATATACAAAGGTGTGTGTATGTATATATACTATTTGTGTGTGTTCTCTCTCAAGCACTTATTAAGTGTAATTGACAGCAAGGTACTATGTTAGGTGCTGGGGATATGTGGTCCATGCTTTCAAGGGGCTTAACCACATGTATACATAGGGAAGATTTGCCTACATATACACATTTGGCGTTAGGTACACATATATCAACTAGGTAAGAAGAAAAGGTGGGTTTTTTCCCCAAAAAAAAATGTTACGTAAACAAAAAAATCCAGTCATGAAAGAAATAAACTTTTATTCAACTTTCTAAACTCTGCTTTTTTTTTTTAAGGCAATTGGGGTTAAGTGACTTGCCTAGGGTCACACAGCTAGTAAGTGTCAAGTGTTTGGTCTGAGACCAGATTTGAACTCAGGTCCTCCTGACTTCAGGGCCAGCTCTCTATCCACAGCACCACCTAGCTGCCCCATCAACTCTACTTCTTAACATTAATACTTGTTCTACAAATAAGAAAATATAGGCCCTCAGGAAAATGTATTTTCATTTTCACCATAAGTAGTTATAAGAAAATGACATTTAGGCTCCTCTGAGGTTATGCTTTCCTCCTAGATGCTGCTTAACAGTCCAGTCCAGTACAATACAGTAGAGAATTTGAGTCTTTCTCCATCACTCATAAAGTCTTACAACCTTGGGCAAATTACTTAATTTCTCTATGTACTCATCTGTAAAAAAAAGATTGTAATATTTCCAGGATTTACTTCACAATGTTGTTGTGAAAATAAATGAGATGACATAAATAAAATACACTGCAACCATACAACATCATATAAATGCACTCCAACTATCTGCCAAACTGAATTATTCTCTTACAAGTCTGTTTGATGAGCAACGCATGAATTTTAAGAATTTGCTTGACAAGCCTGCCACCTGCTGGACCATTTTAAAACTGAAGATTTAATCAATTAAAGATTAAATCATTAAGAATAAGGATTCCTAAAAGTTAATTTGTAAAACTCAATACAGTAACCTATTTCTATTTATATTCACATATTATTACTTTTACTCGTTTTAAAACTGGACTAAGTTGCAACAGCAACAATAATGTTGTCTACTGAGTATAATGGAGTATACTTTTCTGATTAGTTCAAAACATTAGGTATTTAAATTATCTCTAGTTAAGATGGAATAATTTGTAAATGGACAAATTGAGGCACTGAACCAGATGATTTGCCATAGGACACAGTTAATGGCATAGCTGGTACTATAAACCAGGTATCGTGACCATCCCAACCCACTAAGTTCATGTGTTTGTAGACACATATACATGTACATATAGATATACATATATAGCTATAGACACACAAACATCACATACATGTGTACACATATATACATCTATGTGTACTGTGCCTACATGTGTACACACACACACACACACACACACACACGCCTAAAACAATCTGGGTCATTTTCGTCTCAGATCTTCAGTTTTTTAATTCTCAATAAGGATGTAACTTACCTTTCAATTGCTAGTTCTTTGTTGGACAGCTGTTGCACTGTGATCACAACCTTCTTTTCAATTCCTTGTCTCAATTTGAAATAAAATTTCTCTCTATCTTTAGGCACAGGACTGAAATGTACAAAATAACACAAATAAAATATAACATATGAGGATGACCTTCTAAAAATTTAACTACATCAATCCATGCATTTTGCTAATAATAATCATATTTGTTAAAAGAATACCAAGCGCTCACTACTCATAACCTAAACAGTAAGGATTAAATGGCTATACTTTAGAAAGCTCCCACAAATAGAATGGCTGCTACCAACAACTTGTTTTAATTGGATTCAAAAAGTTTGATATTTCATTCCAATGAAATTAATGAACTGAAACTATCAGAATAATGCACATACAAAATTCACCTTTTTGATCTTCCACGATATATTATGCCTTGTTTTTATACACTGCCTAATTTTCACTGTGTGCCTATTTATGCCCTCTGCCACTTACAAAGGGATGTATCTTCCCATAGCTTAAAATGCAAACTCCAAGTAATTATGCTTATTATTTTTTATATTCATAGTAGCTCACAATTTGCATAGCATTTGTGAGCAGTTCCCTTATATAAGGCAGACAATACAAACAGTGATGAGGAAACTGATGATCAGAAAAGTCAAGTGCCTTGCCAATGGTCACATAGCTAGTAACTGGCTGAACCAAGACTCAGACAAGGTCTTCCGACCTCAAGTCCAAGGCTCACTTAAATATTTCAGCATTTCAGTGAGTCTGTGATCTCACTGATGGAGGTCTTCCTCCTACCTGAACATATTCAAACATATCCTGCATGATACTTACCATGGCTCTAACTACTTCATAGAGAGCTTGCTGGAGGCCTTCTAATCCTTTTAATATTCTGAAGATGCCAGAGCAGTGCCCAGGACATTCATCATCTATCCTTTAGTCTCCCAACATGACTGGTCAATAAGCCTCTAACGCATCATTTTAAACACCAAGACAAATTAATATAATAGGGAAAAAATAATCTCAAGATAAAAAGATAAGTCACATTAAAGAAAAGATGATATAAAACAGAATGCTAACAGAAACAAAATGTAACTTGACAGAAAATTTACAAAATACAATAGGATCGTTTCCATCATTAGTGTTTCTGAGTCAATCATCAAAGAAGATGTAAAACTTATTTCCAAAAGTCTACCTTTCAATTCAACATAATCCTTTACAGCAGAATTGGACAAATTTGCTTTGAATATGGAAGCTGGACAGAATTTTTACCTTTTAAAGGAAAATTAACCCAAAAAAGTAGCATGTAACCACAGGGTATTAGATTCTAACCTTGGCCTAAAATACAAAAGAGTCTCAAAAGGAGCACACAGAAAGACTCAAAGTTTTTGTAAAAATAAGCTTCTCAAGCAGAAGATGAAGGAGGCATGGCAAGGCAGCTCTTTGTCTAGAAAAGATCTGGGGATTTTAGGAGACCTGCAAGCAGGAAGGAAGTCAGCGGTGGAATATATCAGCTACACTGAGAGAGACATGGGGATAAGGGGCAGGAGATGGGTGAGAGAAAAAGGGAAGGAGAGGGAAACCAGACAGAAAAAAAAAGTCTAGGGAAAAGGAAAGAAGAAGAGAAGAGCTAGCGGGGAAAAAGGAGGAATGCCTTTTTGGAATCCCAATGCCTCATTCTAGTGCCTTCCCTCTGTTGATTATTTTCTATTTATCTCATACATGGCTTGTTTGTATATGGTTGTTTATTTGTCTCCATCATTTGACTGTAAGCTCCTCAAGGGCAAGGCCTATCTTTTGCCTTTTTTTTTTTATCCCCAGCACTTAGCACAGTGCCTGGCACATAGCAGGCATTTAATAAATGCTTATGGGGCAGCTAGGTGGCACAGTGGATAAAGCACCAGTCCTGAAATCAGGAGGACATGAGTTCAAATATGGACCAGACCAAACACTTCACACTTACTAGCTGTGTGACCCTGGGCAAGTCATTTAACCCCAATCGCCTAAAAAAAAAAATTTTTTTTAAATGCTTACTGACTGACCTGAATGAGATAAGAGGAAGGGAGGAAAGGAAGGGAGAAACAGAGCAGAGGGGGAAAGATTGAGAAAAGGAACCCATGTCCTAAGTGGCCCCAAGATATTACAGTCCTCAATCAATTACAATGAAATCTAAATTTCTTTGGCCTTTAGGGTAAGAATGATATGTCTACATATTCTGGTAACTTATCCCTTAGCTAAGAGAGGTTAAAGGACTCAACTAAAGCTGTAGTCAAATTCTAGCTTGAACCTGAGTTACAAGGAGCAAGCAATGTCACCGAAAACACACTGAACTTGGAAACAGCAGATCTAGGTTTCAATTCCATTAGGCACTAGCTGGGTGAGCACAGAGAAATCATTTAACTATTAAGAGCCTCAGTTTTCTAATCAACTAAATGGGGTAAAATATGGTGTCCCAAAAGCCTTAGCACAGTTTTACACTCTAATAGCTAATAAGACTTTCAAGACATTCATTATTTGCATGACCTAACTTAGAGGATTACTGTAAGGAAAATGTTTTACAAACTTTAATGTGCTCTATAAAAATGAGGATTTTTTGCCATACAGGCATCCAGAGTTTCAGGAAAGAAACCAATTCAAAACAAAAGAAAAATAGCAAAAACTTTACCAAATGGAGTACAGTTAGCAAGTCAGCAATTAAATCCCAATGTGGTTAGCATGACCTCCATAGCTTACTGTTCCTCATTAACTACACAGTCTATACTTATGAAATGGGTTATCTCTTCTGCTCAAACATGGAACAACATTGATAGTTTTCATATTCACTCATCAAGAATGCAATAAATATTTTGTTCTAAAACAAAATGCTACTCAACAATACCATCGTATATTCACTTGGAACAAGGAGATTTATTCCACACTTAAAAAAGAAAGACAGCAGCAAGTCACCTTCTCATACACCCAGACGCCTCTATCCTTTTTTTACAATCATTCTTCATACCTAATTAACTATTGTCACCCTTCATCTATATTTCTTACCCACTGAACTTCTTGACACAATACACCTTAACTGGTAAAAACAACCATCACTGTAAAAACCAAGCAAGGAGCCACTTGCTCAACTTTCAGCAATGTCCACTGACATCGCTTCCTCTTTTATATTTCAAAAATCTAACTACAGATCACCCTTGATTCCCCTGATTAGGTTTATCCTCCCTTTTAATGTTTCTGAAAATTCTTTCATCTCAGGCAATGGTGGAACAGTGGATAAAGAGTGTCAGGCCAAGGTCAGAATTCAAACCCTTCCTCAGGCACTAATGACCTGTTTGACCCTCAGCAAGTCACTTAACTGCTGTCTGCCTCAGTTTCCTCATATGTAAAATGGGAATAATAATAGCACCTACCCTCAGGGTTGTTGTGAAAACCAAATGAGATAATAATTATAAAATACTTATTAGCATAATGCCTGGCATACAGTAACAGATATATTTGTTAGTTAATGTCATTATCATCATCATCATTACTATTATTATGTCCTATTTGCTTAGGCTATTAGAGCAATGAAATTAGTAAAGAGACACAAAACATAAAATGTAATTTTCATGGCTTCCTACTAACTAGGAAGGAGAAAACTAGGCTCCCACAAAAAGGCCATTTGATACTAAGACAGAAAGAAAGCAAAAAGGAGGTAAAAGGTGATTAAAAAAAGAAATATATACCTATTCAATCTAATGTTATGTTGATTACGGACCTGCTATATACAAAGGACTATCAGGCACTAAGGGCAAAAATGGAGAATGTAGGCTCAGCATTAGGAAGTTTAGTATGACACAGGGAAATTGGGTTCAAAGGAGGAAAACAGAGCACTCTAAGAATAATGAGAAAGGGGAAATTATTATCAGTTAAGGGGATCACAGAAAGCTTTATACAGATCACACGACGTGAAAAGGGCCTTGAAAAGAAGGATTTCATGTGAAGATGTAGAGCATGGGTGTACTCCACTCAGGAAGAACCAAATCACAAAAACCCACAAACTTTTAACACCATTTTAAGGCATTATGCTACCATTTTGCTTTTGGAACTTCTGCATTGGCCGCTCTTCTATCCATGTGCCATCTTCATTCTATTTCCCAGCTTCCTTACCTGAAGTTTCCTTTTCCATCATCTTCTTTGACCTCCAAAGAGACACTGAAGGTAAACACATCACTGTCTGGGGTAGGGACAATAGAGTCCTTTACATCTGACACTTGCCTGGAAGAACGTTTAAATGCTGTACAAAAGCTGTATAAAATTCTGCTGACCTAAATGAAAGAATAAAGGAAGAACCATTGTTAAAACCAAAGCTTTACCTACTTTCTATTCCCTCCCCATACAATACTTAGGTCTACCTTTCTTTCTTTGTCTCCTACTCAGAAGTGTATACAAGTGGTAAATTAAATACAATTTCAGCAGACACGTTAGCAAGGACTAGTAGGATCTCATGTAGAATATAGGATTAAAATATTAAATGGGATCATCCATAAAATGCTCTCCCCCTCACATTAAGTGTTCCTTTCTAGGGTAACTCCAAAGGCACACTGGGATACTCCAGAGAACTCCCTCACCACCAGTACTGGCAGATTCCTCATTCACCTGGACGCTGAGCAGCCCTAAAGAAAACACAAACCTCTTGCACCCTGCCCACTACTCAAAACAAATAATCCCACAGTTTCCTCTGACTTTTAACGAAGCTTTTTACTCTTAGTTTGTAGCACCATAAAGTGAAAAGGGAAGCAATTCTGAGCTAGAGATGCTTCTTCCTTTGCAACACCATCTTGGCTCTTTCCATACCACTCAATAATAACATACAACTTTCTGTGTTTCTTATTAGATCATTTCAGTACAAAAATTATTGACTTTTTAGAAAAAGTTAGATTTATGTTATGCTAGGCAATAATAATGTTCCAAAAGTATCTTTGTTTAAAGTCCCATAAAAACACCCTTAAAAGTATTTAAAACTAAGATAGTAAATTTATCATATGATTTTTAAGTTGGTTGCTTCACAAATTATTTGCCAAGTACTGAATGCTGAAGAATAAAAAAAAAATTATAAAGCATCAGTGAAGGTAGAAAGTGCAAAAAAAAAAGTCTAATAAAAATGGTAATATCCTTGCCCACTTCTACCGTGCTTTCCAATATTTTGCTCTGCCTGAATTCATCTGGAGGTGTCTGGGCGGCACAGTGGATAGAGTATCAGGACTGGAGTCAGGAAGATCCCAGTTCAAATCCTGCCTCAGCCACTAACTGTGTAACCCTAAGCAAGTCTTCATCTGTAAAAGGGGGATAATAACAGCACCTCCCTCCCAAGGCTGTTATGAGGATCAAATGAGATAATAATTGTAAAGTATTTAGCACAGTGTCTGGCACATTAAGAGTGATATAAATGTTTGTTGTTGTTGTTGTTAATTGGATTCCTTTATATTTTTAAAGAGGTGACCAAGAACTTCATCCCCCCAGCACAAAGAATAACTCTAACTCCCGACATCAAGTCGCTTCTCGTGGGGATCGTCCGGGTCTCTCTTTCTCACAGAAACTCAAAATCCTCTTCAGGAGGGTCTTGCATGATCGTGTCAAACAAGCTCTACTCAGATGCTTCTAACACAAAGGCCAAAAGGGCTGGGCCCAGAGCCATCTCCACCAGTCGACTTTCCCTCTGCTGCTCTTAGGGTGTTCTGCTCACAAAGGTTTGTGGTGAAATGACATTGAGGCTGCAGCTGTTACGCTGATACAAGTGTGGTCCGAGCTAATTTGGAGTAGACAGAGAAGCACTCATGCTCACAGCAAGTTTTGATTCTATTAACAGCTGTTCTCTAGAAAACACCAAAACTTGGCCAAAGACTGCAAAACTACAAGAAACAAAGGTGATGAGGAAAAAAACATTCAGCAATGCCCATCCCAATGGTGATATGAACACGAGCCAACTGGTCAGTCAGCCAGCGTTTACACACCAGGCACTGTACTGAGCACCAAGGGTGCAAAGGAGAGCAAAAACACAGCAACTGCCTTCAAAAGAGCTTATGTTCTAACAGAGAAGTGTGAGAGTGTGTGTGTGTGTGTGTGTGTGTGTTGTGTGCGCACGCGCATGCATGTGAATGTATACATGCATGCAGAGAGTGTGCATTTGCACGTGTATAGAGGACGCATACAAAGCAGACAGAAGGTATCCCTGGCAGTAAAGGCACCAGCAGATGGAGAGACCAGTAAAGATCTCCTGCAGAAGATGCCATCTGAGCTGAGCTTTTAAGGAAATAAGGAATTCTAACACATGCAGGTAAGGAGAAGATACATTCTAGGCACAGGGGAACAGACAGAGATTGAGATGCAGTGATGTGTGAGCTACAGTAACACTCGGAATGGTAGGTGAGAAAGAGTGGGGAGTCAAGGAAGAGAACCTCGTTGTGAACCCAGCTGACTAAAAGGTTAGCGGTGTTCACAAAAGCACTCAGGAACTTCAGCAGAGGGCAGGCTCTGAGGAGGGAGGAAAGATGAGCTCTGCTTCGGACAAGCTGAGTTTGAGATACATGTGAGACATCCAGTTCAAAAGGTCTGAAAGGTAGATGGAAATGAGAGACTTGAGCCCAGAAGAGAAATCAGAGAGAGACAGGCAGGAGACAGACAGATATGTATACATATTGACTTGTTTATTTCTGAGTCATTTTGAAATAGATGAAAATTGAACCAAACCCATAACAACTGATGAGGTGCCAAGTATAAGTATAGACTTCCATATTCTAGAAATACAGAAAAAACAAGACAGGCCAGAACAGACCCAGACTTGAAAGATGCCCATAGTTAGGCGGCATGGTAGTCCCTACTTTGCAGTATCCTTGCTGTCCCTTTTAGTAAGTCACAGATTTCTTGGCCCTCAGTTTCTTCACTTTTAAAATGAAGGAAATAGATGCTCTAAGGTCCCTTCTGGCTCTAACATTGTGTGACACCTACAACAAAGTTCAGGAACTACTTAATAATCACTCATCCATGCTTATTCCTACTTCAAACACAGAGAATTTTACATTAGAGGTTAAAGACCCAACCACCAGCCACATGGGCTGCACAATACAAAGGAATATGGACTTCCTTCTAACAATCTGCACCGTACAATGTGCCTTTGGAAATTAAGTTATATACTGTTTCCAAAATGACTAAAAGAAAAATACAGCAGAGACAAAGGTTCCCCAAATTATGAATGTTATATACATCACAATTACATAAAATAGTGAGAAACACATTCCTTTAATTTACGTCTTCAACAATCTCTGACTCATCAAGTACCAGACTCTTCCCATGTTGCCAAATCCATTTCAGTGCAAGTAGGCTCCAGGAATCCAAAAATCAGACAGGTAGAAAAGCAACAGCTGCCAAATTTGAAATAACACATCTCTACTATCTTTTTTCCCTCACCTCTAATAATGGAGTGAGTACAAATCAGAGACAGTTCTCACTTTCATGCGCATACACACTCTCTCTCTCTTTTTCTCCCTGTTCTCTCTCTCTCTCTCTCTCTCTCTCTCTCTCTCTCTCTCTCTCTCTCTCTCTCTCTCTCTCTCTCTCTCTCTCTCTCCATCTGTCCTCTATCTGTTCTCTCTGTTCCTCACCCTTCCCTTTTGATAACTGCCCTCCCCAACTGTTTAATAGAAATCAAACTAAGGTATCATGGCATAAAGATCAGTGAGCTAGCCTCAAAAACGAGGAAGACCGGGGTTCAAGTCCTACCTCTGACACATACTAACTATATGACGCTGGGCAAGTCATCTAATCACTGGAGACCTCCCCGCTATGAGGATGATGATCCTCCCTCATCTTAGAAGGGCTCTGCTCATGTCCCACCTAGCTGCTCTCCTGGGCTGCATGATCTCACAGAAACCCATCATTCTTCAAAATGAAATCAGCTATGTCACTCACCTCCTCAGTTCATTTCCCTCACTGGCTGCAGGACTTCACCACATCCCCACACCAGGAAACAGCCTTCCCTTCTCCCCTCTCCACTTTTCAGCTTCTTTTAGATGCTGTCTTCCCTTATCAAACTGTGAGCTCCTTGAAGGCAGGGGCCGACTGACTTACACCTTTCTATGTATCCCCAATACTTAGCACAGTGCCTAAAACATAGTAGGAGCTTAATAAACATTTATTGATTGAATGGCTGATTGATTGGTGGGGGAAACTGGCTAGTAGTTTGAAAATCCTTTGCATTAAGCAAGAACATTTAATTACTCAATTTCTCAGAGCAAAAATCAATCTTCACAAATAAGCACTGGTTAAAAACAAAATAAAAACAAAAATGATAGCCCTAGACCTGTAAAATAAACATTATTCTAAGGTTAGCCAATTTTACATGGGGCACAACTGCTATTACGTGAATTTTTTTAATTCATCTTTAACAATCCATTAAGAATGACAGATAATACTCTTTTTTTTGAAGTCTTAAGAAAAAAAAAACCTTCATGCTGTTTGACTTCTCCACAACATAGTGCTAAATTGTAATGCACCAAGCAGCTGGCAGTGGACAGAGCGCTGGGCCTAGAGTCAGGATCTATCCTCAGGCACTCACCAGCTGTGTGACCCTGGGCATGTCACTTTAACCTCTGCCTGCCTAAGTTTACTCATCTGTAAAATGGGAATAATAATAGCACCTAACTCCCAGGATTTTTATAAGAATCAGAGATAATATTTGCTTTTAAAAAAAAGTGCTCTGTACAATGCCTGGTATGTATAGGCGCTATATAAATGCTTATTCCCTTCTTCTTCTAATGCTGCTAAACTAAACTATTTTAACTCTGCACTAAGACAGGCACTCCCTATGACTCAGCTCTTTCCATGTGGCTCTCCGTGCTACCACAAATCATGACTTCCTCTGAAGAAATCTATTCCCATCCTAATGTTATGTTATACTGTCTGTGCACACATATACTATGATGCAAAGACCTGGGTTTTAAGTCTCTCTTCCAACATGTAACGACTGTGTGATCCTAGGACAGTCACTTAACTTCTCGGTGATCCTGAGGGTCCCTGAGACCCTTTCCAGGGGTAGGAGAGGTCAAAATTATTTTCATAATAATACTAAACATGTTTTAATTTATAATATGGTAAATATCAACAGACATAACCCATATGAACAAAAGTAATTTGGTGGGGGTCGGGGAATCCTCAATAATTTTTAAGAGTGGAAGGGGTCCTGGGACCACAACATGAGAGAACTCCTGCTCCAGGCAGCTCTCCAGGTCTGCAAGTTGCAGAAAAGGTGCCTACCTGCACGGTTATAGGAAGTTTCCTTATCATGGAATAGGAATGAAGCCCAGGTACAGTCCTGTCCCAACACTAATTTATACAGATGTAGGTCCTATTAATATTGTTTTAATTAAATTTCTGACTACAGCAGATCACTGGGATACATGATACTTACTGCCTCTTGAATCTCACAGGAGAAAATGTGTATCTGAAAGTCTTCTGTCCCACGAGAACTCTCTGTAAATGCGAAGCAATCGCTTTCTGTTGTCCCATCGTGGCCACGTGCACAAAATAATATTTTGTAGATTGGGAACGATGCAATTTCCACATTGCTGGATTGATCTATTATTCTGCAAAATACAGGTGACAGAAGAGCCCAAAATTTATTTTTTGTTGCTCATTTCTTGCTTTAGGATTGCGATTAGCAAGAAGGGCTCATCCCATTCAGGGCTCAAAAGAGCTTTGAAATAAATTCAGGCTTAAGCTCAACAACTGGACTTAGATCCCATTAGCTATGTGCAGTTTATAAATCATAAATATAAGCCCAGAAGCTCATGATGGTACATTAAAACCACAACAACAATAACCAGGCCACCACTTCCTAATAAAAAAAACTAGTGGCTGGAATGGACTGAGGTTACTGTCAATAGTTGGTCCTTGGGATCAACAAGGTTTAACTCCCTTGTTGTCTTTCATAAGCAGTCACTAGCCATGTCACCAAATGAGATATTATATGTAAAGTATTTGGCAAACTTTATAACCCTACACAAATGTTAGCCCTTTGTGCTATTTCTTTAATCTGTTTCGAGTTCCTAATTTTTTTTGTCTCCTACAAACTATACTGGTCATAAGTGATCTGTTACAGCTACTCACCGGTATAGGAGAAAATGCAATGAAAGATACCCGTGACTAGCCTGGTAAAGATAGAACTAAAACTGGTCAGAAGTTTAACCCTCCATGCCAAATGCTGAGGTTTTTCTTTCCCTAGAAGAGGGCTGAAATTACTGAGTTATGAATCTTATGCTTTTGATTTTATAAGTCACTCTCATAAGCTCCTAATAGCAAAAGCAAAGGAAACATTTGACAAAGCCCTTACTTACAAATGATTCCATCAGTCTAGGGTTGTGAGATTCAAGTGGCTTAGAATGTAAACACTTCAGTGAAGCTTGGCCTCCAAAGTACAGTGCAAAACAGAGGCTTGGAGTAAGGGAAAATCACACCCCAGAACCAATGGAAGAAGGAAAGTGTGGTCTGGGAGTAGCCACTCTCCCCACCTGGAAATTCCAAAGGAAGGAAAGAAAGAGGGGAGGGAAGGGAGAGAGCTAGTGTCTCCCCCTTTTGTTTTCCACCTAAACATCCAAACCTAATCGGACAATAAAGCCTTCTTGTGTTAATATTGTATCTTCTTCCTGTCCCCCTAACCATCTCCTCCCATTCTAGTCAGTATGGTAAGTTTATAAGTAGCCAGTAAAAAGGGGCAACAGCAGAAAATAAGATTGCAAAGGGGAACCTGGAAGTCACATAGAGACCGTCCCAAAGATCAAAGGAGCATAATTTACAAATTGTATCATATATTAACTAAAATTCACATCCTGGTAATATGTGCTGAATCAGGTGAAACCATGTGGGAGCTGTTTGTCGAGGTTCTGGTCCTGTGATATGTAAATTCCAGACCTCCACAGCAGAACCTCAAAAAGGTGGTGATAACTTTGACTTCAAAGTTTTACTGATAACTCTGAGATGCTTTTAATGTTAATACACTAATCCCAAAATAGCACAGACAGGAGTTGGTCTGTTCCTCAGAAAAATAAATAAATGAATGAATGAATGAATGAATGATGAATGAATGAATAACAAATAAATAAATAAAGATGAGACCTGAAACTCCTGACCCCAAGCTCTCTTCCACTGGGTCCATGCTGCTGAGTGCTCCCAAATCTAATCTCCAGTGATGTGAGTGATTCTCTCGGCCTCTCCCTCACCCCACCCTCTTTCCCAAGCTGTCTGCTTCCCTTCGCCATCCTCTTAGGATCACTTTTCATCATTTGTCTCTACCTTTATGGGCTTTTTGCTCCCCTACCCTGCATGTTTAATTAATGTGTGATTGCCACACCATTTCCTGATGCCAATCATGGTCTTTCCCAGTGAATACCCACAGAATTGAGCATGTCTGCCCCATTTCATAATTTCACAAATTATCAATATGTTTCTAGTTAAATTTGGCAAACAGGAAGCAAAGGTTTAAAACAGGCCTGCAAAATCTGTGGCCCATGGGCCACTTATGTTTATGTAGAGGATGTTTTCCTCTACATTTTTCGTGGGCCACCCGAAATCCTTTGGTGGGCTGCAGGTTGTGCAGTCCTGGTTTAAAATAAACCTGGACCTTCATTTTACATGCACAAACAAAATAACTGAATTCCAAGGCAGTCTTATATGGGATTTTTTAAAAAAAATAACTCAAAAGCTTTTTTTTGGTATAGGTAATGCTGACAAAATGTTTTGCTCAACTACACATGTTTGTAATGAGTTTTGTTTTTCTTAATTTCTCAAGGTGGAAAAGGGGGAGGTGAGAGAAAGAATTTGAGCTAAAAATAAAACTGAATTAAAAGTAAAGAAATAAATAAATCAATAAAATTCAATTAAAGTTTATGTCTTTCTTGAAGAGTGGGGAAACAATCAGAACTCACCTTACAGAGCCTTCTGGAACATTTGGCACATAGAGAGTGACAGGGAAGGGAAACTGGCTTGAAGATTTCATGGTTGCCATTGCTCGTAAAGCTTCTACTTCATTTCGAGGAGAAGAAACTTTCATACATCCTAAGTAAGTCAGTTTATTAAATAATACACTATCTTCCTCTGGTGGTTCACCGGGAGAAGGTGGTCGGAGAGTGGAAATTTCTAAAAAGAAAAGAAAAAAGAAAAAAATCATTACATTTGGTGATTAAATGACTGCATTTAGTATCAGAGGACATGGATTCAAATCTTGCCTCTTTTAAATACTACTAATGTGACCCTGAGAAAGTCACAACCTCTTTGGGCCCCAATTCATCAGTTAAATGGAGGGAGTCAACTAAATGGTTGAAACCCCTCTAAAAATCAATCAGTCAAGAGGTATTTATTAAGCACCTATGATTCTGAAAGACAACATGGCACAGTGGACATAGAGCTGGCCTTGGAGTCAGGAAGACCTGGAGGTTCAATACCTACCTCTGCTACATAGTAGCCATGAAAGTCATTTACCCTCTCATTGCCCCAGGCAATACCTTAAATACTTTAAAAGCTACAGAAAAGGTACTCATCTACCTTGATGGAGGAAGTTCCTCAGCATGGACTGCTTCCACCAATGAAATCCAATAATTTTTTTAAAAATTCACGATCCTAAATACAAAAAGCCCCTGATTACAATTTTCTTGTTTCTGTTGATGGTACCATCATCTTCAGTCCACTAAAAGACAGATTAAAAACTTCAGACTCATCTTTTACTCTTCCCTCTTCCTTACCGCCCACATCAAACGTCAGCCCTTCTTGACTCTGTTTCCATCATCTCTCTCACATCAGGCCCATTCTTTCCACTCCTCCTGTTACCATACAAAATTAGGTCTTCATGACTCCTGTCTAAACTGCCTTCTTTGTGCCCGTGCCTCTCAGGGTCTTGACTAACTCAATTCCACCCTTCATGCTGTTCATGTTCTTTATGCATGTCTCACCAAGTAATTCCCTCACTCAAATACATTCAGTGCTTCCCAATGCTTACTACATCAAATATGGTCCTCGGCCTGGCATTCAAAACCCTCAACAACTTGGTCCCAACCAAGCCTTCTGGCTTTATCCTGCACCTTCCCCTTCACATTGTCTATATTCCAGCCAAAACACACCATTCATTGTCTCCTATACTTGACCATCCTTCCCTCTTCCCTGTCTGACCTCTCCCTGGGCCTTTGCTCATGATGCTTCCCAGCCCCATTTTCAAATCACTACAATGCCTCCTCCACCCCCTCGGTCTACCTCGGGTGACGCTATTCTTTTTTTTTTCAAATAGTATTTTATTTTTTCCAGTTACATGTAAAGATAGTTTTCAACATTCATTTTTATAAGATTTTGAGTTCTAAATTTTCCTTCCCCCTTCTCTTCCCTCCCCAAGACAGCAATCAATCTGATATAGGTATACATGTGTAACCATAGAAACATATTTCCACATTAGAGGTAATACTTCTTAACAGAGCCTTGTCCAATTCTCCTTGATGGAAAACTGTTTCATCCTAGAATTTCTCATGGTACTTCATCTTGATCTCTCCTGTGTACTTATTCCATTGTCTTATAGTTATTTGTAAATATGTTTCTCTCCATTATTATACTATAAGCTCTTTAAGGGTAAGGATTGTGTGGTAGGAACAATATTTGCTTTGCTTGGATTGATTCAGTTTCCTTTCAAGGAAATAAGGAAGCCATTCTAGGGACTTAGCTAACTTTGAAAACTAGGGATTGAACCACTGGTTAACTTCCTTGTTGCCTGAGGCATAAAAATCCAGCCTACAAGGATTAGCATTACTAAAGTCTGATGAAATTCTCAATTTCCTAAGAGCAGGACCTCTTTCTGTCCGGTAATTGCTGCCTTCATGAATGTGGAGGTAGTGGGTACCAGAATCAATTCTCAGTAAATAATATTCTTTTAATCCTATTTCAAGTATTTGCTTTTACAGAATTTTCTGATCTATACATATTTCATTACATTTTAGTCCTGGGTTTCAATCTCTGATACTAGACTAGCTTCAGTTCCCTCTTCTCTCTGCTTCTGACTCTCCTAGACTTTACCACTATTACTCAGCTATCTTCTCACACCGAGAACTTCCCCTGAGATCCCCTGGGGCCTTCTCACCATGAAAATCTTTTCATCACGTAGACCCCCAACTCCCACTGATGAGTCCCAACCAGGGCCCTCCATTTACAAATGTGCCCAGATTAGCCATGCTTCATTCCCCTCCTAGCTCTGCATCTGATTCTCCAGCCTTTAGCATCATGCCTTCTCATGGGCATATTTTCTCCCCTCCTGATAGTACCTCCTTTTATGTTTTCTCTTCCCCCAGCAGAATGTAAGCCCCTTGCAGCAGCAAACAGCTATAGTGCCTAGCACATAATAAGGGCTTAATAAATGCTTTGTAGCCTGTTTTGCCTTGACCAGAACAAACTGTGCCTCATTTCACCACTGGGTCCCCAGTGACTAGCTCACAGTAGGTATGTAATAAATGTTTAGAGAATGTAAGAGAAAAATATGTACTCATTAAATATCTAGCACTGGTAGACAATCAGTACAGACAGAGATGGAGCTTATTCTTGCGAATCAAAACTGAAACGGAAAGGTGTCTCCTATGTAAAACTTTTAAAAAACATTTTGAACTTATTTGCTTCAGGTGTCTAATGGAATTTATGTAAATTACAATCTCAAATTCTATACTCCATATCTATCTACAGTAAGAAATAAACAGGCAGTTGTATACTGGGAAAGAATAACAGCATAAGAAAAAGATTTCATGCAAGCCAGATGGAGCTCTCAGCATGTAAGCTATTTTTATCATTTGTGTGTGTTTCCCCAAACAACCTGACTCATACCTATTCTTTTCTTTCTCACTCTCACCCTTGTCATACAGAAATTTGTGTGTGTGTGTGTGTGTGTGTGTGTATGTGTGTATGATTAAAGGGATGGAGGTGGGAAGGAAAGAGAGAGTGTGTGTATGTGTGCGTGTGTGAGCGTGTGTGTGTGTGTGTGTACGCACGTGTGTGTGTACAGAGAAACAAAGAAAGGAAAAAAAATAAAGTTGATAGTAGAAGCAGTTATAATACTATTCAGTTATAATTTAGTTATAATTCAACTGACATTATCAAACTCCTACGTGCAACATAATGTGATAGGCACTGGAGAAAATACAAAGAAAATCTCAGTACTACACATCCCCAATATCAGCAGTATTTTCAAATACACATAGGAAAACCTCATCAATACAAGCACAATTTGGGAAGGGGAATAGACAGAGATGGATGCCAGAGGAAGGAAGCAGAGAGATAAAATAGAATGAGAGAGCAAGAGCAAAGGAGAGAGCTAACTGAATATTAACCATCAAAAAACAAACTTTAAACACATCTTGATGGAAATCTAGCCAAAACTTCCCTGCCTTATTAAACTGAACATACTTTCGCTTGGTGAAGACTCAAAGTCATTGCTATGAATATCCATAGCTATACCATGTTTTAACACGACTTTCATTAACTTGTATATGGATGCATCCTAAATGCTCCTTTCTCCCTGCCCTCCCATTTGTCCATGTCTATCCTGCTCAGTCTGCTTCCCACTGTCCTTGTCCTCTAGACCTGCTTCTCTTAATCATTTGCTGTTTGTGCTCTCTTTCCTCTTCACTTCTCTTCCTTTCATCTCTCCCTCTCCATGCTTCTTCTGCTCCAAGCCTATCAGCTTTGGCACTGCCTGAACTTGCCTTTTGTAACTACTGCCAAGTATAAGCAAGGGATCTTTATTCTAGCCGGTGAATTGACTAACTGTATTGGGTCTTTTTCAAAACCCCCATGCCTACAGCATTTCACTAAAGTTCATACCTAAAGGATTTGCCATATTCATGGCTATTCTAGACAACTAGTCCAAGTGTGTGGCTCTCTATGCTCTATACATAATGGGCTCTGTGGCTAAGAAGTGGGCGAGTCAATACACATTTATAAAGCATTCATGACATGCAAAGCAGTATGCTAAGTGCTACAGATATGACTATGAAAAACTACAGAACCTTCTATGAAAGAATTTCCAATCGAATATGGGGCTGGAAAATACAATTTATACACAAGTAGAAAATGAGATGACAGTGCAAAGGAGATACTGAGACAAAGACCAGTGGTTTCCAAAATGGGAGTCACTTGGGAAGCCATAGCATGATTCCCAAATTGGGATCAACCAATCTGGATAGGATAGGAAGATGGGCTGCATTCCATCCTGTCAAGATAGCCAATCATATAAACTGTTTCCAACACAACCACACTTACCCTTCACACTTCCTCATTCTATTCCCTCCCTCCAAACGGGCAAGTCCCCAACCTTCTTTCCTTCTAAGCCAGATCCAAATGTCAGCTTTTCTGGAGAATCACAATCTAACTCTGAAACAAGCACCCACACAAGCAGCTGGGCAGCTGCCCATCAGTAAAATTCTCTAATTCTCCACCCTTAGCATAAATACTAAGGAAAAAAATTCTTGATAGAGGTATATGATCAAAAAAAGTTTGAAGATCATAGTTCTGGGAAATGTTGACAAGGGAGAGAACACATTCAAGGAACTGGGAAAGTTTCATTGAGGAAACAGCAAACAAGTTAAGTCACAAAGAAAGAGAAGGATGTCCACAGGTATAAACAATGAGGGCATGCATCGCAGGCCCAGAGGATACCTTGTATGAGTGCAGAGGTGGGTGGGAGACAGTAAAGCACTGCAATAGAGAGTGTATACATGGGGCTCAGGAAACTAGGCTGGAAAGGTTAGCTGTAATCACAAAGGAGAGAGCCCTGAATGTTTACCAAGTAATTTTCCTTAAATATGACCACATGACTCTCCTACTCAATCAACTCTAGGGGCTCCCTATTACCTTTAAGATCAAATATAAACTCCTCTGTTTCACCTCCAAAGCCCTTCAAATCTGGCCCCAACCCATCTTTCCAGCCACACTGGACATTACTCCCTCTTCTACACTCTGTGATTCAAATAAGCCATACCCCATGCCGAAATGTATTCTCTCTTCATCCCCATAGAATTCTTCTCCTCACAGCTCAAGCAATAACTTCCATATGAAGCCTTTCCCGTGCACCTAACCAACCAATTGCATCCATTTCTGCTCCACTTTTGCCCCTCAAA